GATCTCTTGTTCTTTCTTCAGCCATAGATCCGCCGTTTAAAACTCTTCCTGTTCCAGGTGGCAAGAACCAAATGTTCCATGAAATGCCTGACTTTGGTCTCTAGTCTGTAGATTGGTGTCAGAATGGTGCAGCTGTCTAGCTGGTAGTGGTGTCCGAGTGCTTAGATTGGTGTAGAATTGAAAGCAAACTTTGGGTTTTCCCTGTGACTTGCTTTGTTAATCCTCAGTTGACTTTAATCATCATCAGTTCAGCTTGTCCCTTCATGGAAGATAAATGCTGGATGCTCCTGGCCAGCATCAGTTGCAGGTGACAAGATTGCTGATCCGTGGAGATCCATGATCCTAGGTAGAGAATGTGAGGCAGAAAACTGAATGTTTTAACCTACAACACTCAATTTTAGGTTTCTTTTTTATCTATCAATCCATAATTTTAAAAACTCATTTTAAATCTACTTTAAATCCATAAGGTTCATTCTCTTTTCCTTCATGTGGAATTTCCACCACACATATTTCATACTCTTTTTATTATTTTTTTTTCCTCCCTCCAAGTTCAACCTGTTGCGGAGTCTTAAATGTCTTTGAGTATTCCCCAGCTCTGTGTTCCATTACTCTGTGCTCACCAAGACTTCCCAAAAAGTTTTTACTGAATTCCACGGTTCAATAATTGTAGGCAATTTTTAAGGTTTCCTTTAAACTGTAATTTATATCCAGTAGCATCCTAGGTTTGTATTTGGGGAGTGACAGCAAGCAGTTTGGCATTTGTTGTGCGACTACTTTGAGGATGGAGCCCTCGTTTCAGTTCCTTTCTGAGGGGATGTGGATTCAAATCCAACCTTCTCCCAGGCATGTAGAGAAGCAGGAAGAGTCTGCTCATTGATGCAAAGTAATACTGAAGGTCTTGAGCCTCGACAAAAGGTTTCAGGGTGTGGCTGGACCTGAAATCCCAAGCAAGGGATTATTGAAATGCTTGTGGTTGGAGTTCTCTATTCAGAAGGGCTTGAATAGAGGATTTCTGCCCTGAGTCCTTAAGGAATAAGCAAATGCTACCTTTCTGGGTCCTTTTTATTTTTCTTTTTTTTTTTTAATTAAAGTTTTTCTTAAACTTTGACTCTCTGCAGATTTTTTTTTTCCTTCCTATGTGTTCTTTGTGTTACATTTACAGCACCAAAAACTGTGTAAACTAGTTAGAGCTCCACAAAAAAAAAAAGTGCACATTTTTTTTATATAAGGCTTTCTAATCAAGTTTCACTACTGCATCTTTTTAGCTTGCTGTTTACTCCCTTTTGTAGTTCTACCTACAAGATTTTAAGATCAATCAGCTAAGTCTGAGTTAACTATTAAACACAGTTATAGCTTTACCTTTGTGTGCAATTGAAACATGTTTGAAACCACAATTGGCATAGTTTTGCCTTAGCTAACATTCAGGGCTTTAGAAGTAATTTTTTGCTAGTCTATCTTCAGCAAATCAACAAAGTCTATTGCCCTAGGAAGCTATAGTCAACCAGAGGACCATTTTTGTATTGTTACCTGACTCTATAAGTCTGATTTACTGTATGTGCTAATATATTATATTATATTCCTTTTGTTATAGATTGTCCTAATGGCAGGTAAAGCAATAAAATGATTTAAATTCTTAAATGCAATCAGCCTCTTTTATTTTATTCCCAGCCCTGCACTGGGTTTTCCTTTGGCTTTAGGGGATGAGTTATGAATGAGGCAGGAGAAACTAAGCAGCTTAATGGCTTAGCTTGGTGTTAACTCTGGAGGGTTGAGTTCAGGTCTTGGCTTCCAGCACGACTGAACCTTCCACTCGGAGCCTGCAGAGCCACGTGCCAGGCTGGGAACTCCTCTGGGGCTCTGGCACCACTGCTTGGAATATCAGTGTTGGAAGAGACCTCTAATATAGAATCATAGAATTTAGGGATTGGGATGGACACTGGAGATCATCCAGCCCCAACCTGGGCAGGGACACCTCCCACCAGAACAGGTTGCTCAAGGCTCATCCAACCTGGAATGAACACTGCCAGGGTTGGGGCAGCCACAGCCTCCCTGGGCAACATGTGCCAGTGTCTCACCACCCTTAGAGTAAAAAACATTTTTCTAATATCTAACCTAAATTCCTCCTTCAGTTTGAACCCATTGCCCCTTGTCCTGTCCCTGCAGTACCTAACACAGAGTCCCTCTCCAGCTCCTTGTAGACCCTTCAGATATTGACAAGTTGCTCTGAGGTCTCCACACAACCTTTTCTTCTCCAGGATGAACAGCCCCAACTCCCTTAGCCTGTCCTCACAGGGAGATGCTCCAGTCCTCTTAACTTCTTAACAACTTACCATCAAGTCCAAGTGTCCACCAGTGCTACCAGTGTAACCCCTAAACCAGATCACCCAATGCCAGATCCAGTCACCTCCAGGGGTGGCAACTCTACCACCTCCCCAGGCAATATTTGCAGTGAGAAGTTTCCTGTGTCCTGTTTGAGTGTCTTTTAGCACCTCATGCTGCTCTGATATCTTCAAGTTGTTAATTCCTGGCTGTGCCAGGATTCTTGGAGCTCAGAAGCTCCTTGAAGTTGTCTGTTCCCATCTATGCAAGAAGGTTTGAACAGGTGATGGTTGATGAGGAATGAGTTGTGCTGGTCAGGCAGGGGAAATGGAAGAAGGGGATTTACAGCTGTGATGACCTGAAAGCAGCTCAGATTGGATGTGTTTTACGTGGATCCTGGATAGATCACCCAACTCTGAAGGTATGTTTTAACTCTATCATGTAAAGGAAAATAAAACCAAGCAGGAATTAACCTTGCAACACTGTTAGTGCACCAGCTATTTAAATATCTATGGGTTTGTTTCCTTCATCCTGCCCTCTTTCCCCATCCCCTTGGCCAAAAAACCAGAACTTCAATTATCTAAAGTGAAACTTTCAAACCTTCACTTCCAGCCTTATGCCTATAACTGTAACTTTGCTTTTAAGCTTATCTTCTGTTGCCATGTTTCTTCCTGCGGAACCAGCCGAGAGTCACCACCATTCCAGAACACTCATGGAGTTAATTTTGGGCTCATCCTGTGTGGTGATTGCACAAAAAGCTACCGGTAGAGGGAGATAAAAGTTTGGGAATTCATCATCCTGTGCTGAATCAACCAACATAGTGAACATACCCAGAGGGAGTTATTCCTCTTAGTTCCATGTATTCTCTGTCCAGGAGAATCCAAAGGTCTGGAAATGGTGTTTGAGACTGTTGGAAAGGTGGAAATGGAAGGACTTGGCTAAATCACAGGTTGGAAGACTAAAGGAGCCTGGTGTGAGGTTTTGGATGGATTTATGTGAGGGTTTGAGGTGGGTTTGTGTTGGGTTTTTGGGTGGGTTTGTGTGGGATTTTTTGCTAACTTTTGTGGCTTCAGAATATTGGAGGAGTCTCTTCACTAAGAAACACTCCAACCTTCCTCAAACACACAAACAGGCACCTGTAGGGACCCAAATGTCAGCCTCTCCTGTGGCTTTGCAGTTTGGAGACAGGTATCTTGTTGAATTATTGTGGAGTTGAATTAAGCACTAGTACAATTCCCTGTGCAAAATGATAGCTGTGACCAAATGAGCTTTGTTCCTTCTTTGCATCATCCAAGCACTTAGTGTCATCAAGTTCCCTTTAGCTTGGGCAAAATTCCAGGCCATGAGAAGATGAGATTGTAGGTGCAGCATCCTGCTGGGAACTTTTAGCTGCTGCCTGACAGCATTTGCATGGTGGTTTTAGGATTCCCTGGAAGCTCTGCAATGCTGTAGGTGGGTTTTGTTTGACTTAAAGCTTAGTTTAGAATAAACTCCTAGTAATTGGTTGTGGTGTGGAGGTTTGTTGCCTTTTTTATCCCCTTAAGGATGATAAATTATCAACAGACTTCTCAACTACTTTCCCCAGGCTGCCAAAAGGCTCCGTGCTATCATTCCTGAACAATTAGAGGGAAAAACTATTAAAGAGAGCTTTGGTAATCCAGTTATTCTTATGCCTTGTCACTGGGAGGTGAGGAGAAAACTGGAGGCTGAAATATCTCTAACTCTCCATGATTCTTGGTTTCCAGTTTCTATTGCATCTTCTCAAAATGCACAGAGATGGGGACAGGATATCACTTGTATGTTCTAGGGAATTACGACAACTGAAATGATTTTAAAGCTATGAGGAGGTGACTTGAGACAGATTCTCCCCCACTCTGGCAAAATGTTTGCTCCAGAAATGGGTGGGTTCTTGAATTGTACATCCATGTGTGTCTCAGAGCAGTTTGATTTTCGAGTTCTTTTGGTTGGTTTGGGGTTTTTTTGCCCTTGGGGCCAAAGGCCACACACCTACCCCTCTCCTACAACCCAAACTGGCTCTTCCAGCCATGAGGCAGGTCAAAGAAGTGATTTTACAGCCCTGTGAGGTGTTGAGCTTTGTGTGACATGCACAGATTGATGTGGAGTGAGCTGAGCACTGTTGAAGAGACCCAGAAGCAGCACAGGTTTGATGGTGAGTACATGACCATGCTGAATGAGCATGTTGTGACAGGTCCTGCCCTTGAGAAGCAAGATTGCTCCTTTTCCAAATACACAGTCTTGATTACACAACCAAAAAAGACAGGAAAATGCTCTTGGCATGTCTTTATTCAACCCTCATCCTCAGCTTTAGTTTGTCCTTCATGAGTCAAACCAAGATCCTGTGCATGTTGAGCAAACCAATGTGTTCCCCCACCCTCCCAAGGGCACAACCAGCTCCAGAACAGGAGATCACTCCTTCCCCACCAGAGAGTGATGTTTGGGGTGCTAAGATCTGCTGCTCAGACCACAAGGGACCAACACACAGGCCAAGCACAGAAGATCTTGTTGAGCACCAGTGTAGAAGCCCAGTGTGAGCCTTGAAGATCTGCAGAGTTTCTCCTCTCAGGCTCTGCAAGTATTTGCAGATGGAAGTCACCAGCTATCATAACCTGCCACTTGCCTTGCAGGGTTTTCCCTCCCCCTGAGCATGAGTTCAGGGCTGTTTAAGTGCTCAGCTTGGCTCTGTCCCACGCAGGAGCCTTGGGCTGTGCCATGTCGTTGGCCACCACTGTGTCTTCTCCATAGGTGTCTATGCACTTCCTCACGGTGTTCAGGATGAGCTGTAACCTTCTGTCCAGAGCCAGGAGATGGGGCTCAGTGAGGACAGGGGCCAGGGGGTCCTGCAGGAGGGATTCCCTCATCATGTCGCTGAGCCGATACTCAGGCTCAGCCAAGAGCTGAAGTCGTAGTAATGTTGTCCTCTTTATTCTGGAAAAATCAGAGAATGTTAAGGGGTTGGAATGGATCTCAGAGCTCATCTAGCCCAACCCACCTTGCCATGGGCAGAGACACTTCCCACTAGACCAGGAAAAAAAAAGAAATCAGACAACTTAATGCATCCCAGCAAGATCCATCTAAGCCCCTTGGGAGCAGCGAAGGAGGAGACAGAGATGGGTGAAGAAGCTTAAAGAACTTTGCATTATCTTTCCCTTTCAGAAGGAAATGGATATTTTGTAGAAACCTCTAATGTCTTTCCCTTTCAGAGGGAAATGGATATTTTGTAGAAACCTCTACTTCTTCCTTTGTTTTTTCCAGGGTATTTGTACTGCAGATTTCTGTCATCAGAGAGAAAACCACGATGGAAGTTCTGAGTAGTGAGTGTTTGTGCTCTGAGTCAGAGCTGCCCTGGTTCCCCAGGTTCCTGCAGGGTGGTGCTGTGTCCCCAAGGATGACACTGGTGAGATGGGAGCAGAGGGGGAGGTAAATGAAGAGGCATGAATTAGAAAACATGTTCTGTCAAAACTCTGAGCAAAACCAGGGAATATTTCCTAGAACTGATTTAACTGTGACTTTTCACCTTAAGAGGTACTGAGATTTAAATGTGATTTCCCTTTGACAGAAAATGGGATGAAAAGCTTACAGTCTTGGAATACTTCTGGGCATGAAGCTAAGTATTCTGAAATCACTTGTTTAAGCCTCAGCATCTCTAATACTGACATTAATCAGTGGTTTTAATTCTTGCTTATTAAATTTTGGAAGCAAGGTTTTGTGGAACCATTCTGGAATCACCATTAAACCATATCCCCAAGCAGCAGATCCACATGTTTTTTTGAACACTTCCAGAGTTGGTGACTCCACCACTTCCCTGGACAACCTGTTCCAATGCTTGATCACCCCTTCTGTGGAAAACTTATCCCAATATCTAATCTAAATCAGGAGGAGCAGAGGGAGGTGTTTATCTGTGGTCAGTGATGCCTCAGCATTGCACAAGGCAGAGAGGAGAGTGCTGCTTCCCACACAGTGCTGCTATGGGGGGCAAACATCATATTCCTGCATTAATATTCCTGAAAAACATGAAATAATCAATTGATCAAGTGTGGAGGCTGCCAGGGAGGCTCTAAACCCCAGCTGGGAGGTGCTGCTGCCAGGGAAAGCTGTGTACAGAGCAGATGTGAATGAGCATCTGTGCTCTGTCCTTCGAGGCAAGGGGCAGCAGAGGAGCTGCTGTGGGTAAACACCAGCTGTGTTTGCTCTGGGCTGAGCAGTGACAGGGCCTGGAGGTGGAGAACAGGATAGTCTGACCCCGTGGGGAACAGCTGATTGAATGCTCCAACAGTGACACAACAACACAGGGAGAGAGGAGAGTGAGATGGAAATCCTGCCACCAGTTCCCACGGGGCAGCTGCGACCCAGGGGCTGTACTGAACTGCTGGAGATTTCACCCAGAGCCTTCTGGGGTCTCCATCAGTCAGGGAAACACTTGTTAGGTTAACTGGGGGCTGTTTGCAGGCCTGTCTGTGCCTTGCTGAGGGTTTTGAGTCCTTCAGTTCCTTCAGGCCCATCTCATGGCATGTGCCATCCGTTGTGCTGGGAGAGGAGAGCTGCAGTGTGTGGGACAAGGGGTGGGAGCTGTGAAAGGCAGCTAAAAATACCAGAGTTAAGTCTGCTGGAAGCCAGACTTGGAGAAGGACTCAGCTGGGAATGAGATGAACATGTCTAATAGGGATGCAAACATCCTGCTGCTCAGCATCCCTGTGGCTCCAGTGGTCCCTCTGGGCTGGAGGGGCTGGAGGAGTTGG